CATCAATTAGTGAAATATTTGTTCAGCACAGAATCTCTAGGTGTCAAAGTCATTCAAACACTCACGAAAACCAAAGAAGAAAAACGATGTGAGGAAATTATGGAATAAACTAGTCAGGATAGGAGAAAGATTCGAAACAGGCCTCCTTTGGAAAAAAGATGAGACCGTTTTTACAGATAATAAAAATAATGCACTTACTCGACCTCACTGTATGGAGAGAAAAATGAATAAAGACGAAAAGTTCTCTGAACAATATTGCCAGAAGATTGAAGAATACGTAATGAACGGATATTCAAGGAGACTATCTCGAGAAGAAATACTGAAGGAAACTGGTGAAGTATGGCATCTACCACACTTTGGCGTAGTCAACGTAAATAAACCAGGGAATTTAGGATTGGTTTTCGACGCTGCATCAAAAACGCAATTAGTAAGGATGAACACAGAACTTTTATCTGGACCTGACCTAATGAAGTCACTAACTGGAGTCTTGATGAAATTTAGACAGAACAAGATAGCCTATGCGGGTGACATCAAGGAGATATTTCATCGAGTACAGATAAGAAAACAGGACGGATCAACGAGGAACGGATAGGATTGGAGAGCCAGAAAATGAAGTTCTGTTTATGACTTTCGGTGCTACTTTTTCACCCTGTTTAGCACGGTATATTGAAAAGCGGAATGCCACTGAGTTCGAAATTGAATTTCCAAATGCCAGAAAAGCCATAGTCGAAAAACATTATGTCGACGATTACTTGGATAGTAGCGTTTCTGTGGAAGGTGCTATCAAAAATATAGAAGAAGTCATTGAAATGCACTGCAGTGGAGGATTTTGAAATTCCTTATATCTTTATTTGATCCGCTTCGTTTTCTTTGCAATATAATGATAATTCTTCTACTAGTTTGGGAATCCAAGATTGGATGGGACGATGAAATACCCAACACGCTATATGGTTCCTGGAATAAATGGATCACACAATTTCAAGGAGTTATAGGCCTCCTAAAGGTACTAAGATGCTATGGAAATCTAACCGAATCCCAACATGTAGAATTACATGCTTTCTGTGATGCCAGTGAAAAGGCTTACGCGATGCGATTTATGTAAGGTTTGGAGTAGATAATGATTTGGAAGTTTCATTGATCGTTGCCAAAACTAGAGTAAGTCCACTTAAATCCACATCGATCCCTCGACTGGAGCTCCAGGCAGCTGTAATGTGTTCCCGACTCATGATGACTGTTGCTTCTGAAGTCGAAGTGAAAATTGATAAAATTTATATGTGGACCTATTCAGAAACTGTTCTGACATTGAGAAATATTGGAAAATACTGATAGAAACCTTTGGCATAGGGTTCCGACGAAAGAAAACGTGGCTGATGAAGCAACTCGGTTCTTTAAAGAAACTATACATTCTAAGAGATGGTTTGAGGGTCCTTCATTCTTGAAGAAAACTCAGCAAGAATGGAAATGGTTTGAAAATAATGAAATATTTGAAGATATTCTTGAAGAAGACTTTGAGATAAAGAAATCTGTTTTCATTCTGGAAGTAAATGATGAGGTTTCAGGGAGTTTGCGAGATCCAAGAAGATTTTTTAAATATGAAAAATTAGTAAGTACAACGGTATGGATTATGAGATTCCTAGGCAAGTGTAGAAAAACAGATAAAAACAAAAGTTTATCTCTACAAGTAGAGGAACTTGTAGATGCAGAAAAAATGTGGTATAGAGAAGTACAAAGAATCTATCTATATGAAGAACTGAAGAGTCTGAAGAGTGGGAAAGAAATAGAGAAGTCATCTAGAACCTATAAGCTGTCACCATTTCTAGACGAGAACATAATATGCATGAAAGGAAGAATCAACAGCCAGCTGGAATTAAAAGATATCCTATGATTTTGGATGTAAGATATAGATTTACTGAGCTCCTTATAGAAGACTCACCGAAAGGCTCACCATAATGGATACGAATTTGTAATCAACGAAATTAGACAGTCGTTTTGGATTCCGAAATTAAGAAATGCAGTCAAGAAAAAATAGAAGAGCAAAAATAATCGAACTAGAAATGGGATATCTTCCAGAATCCAGACTAGCAGTATTTGAAAAACCATTTTAAAAGACGGGTGTTGATTACTTCGGACCATTTACAGTTACTTTAGGACGAAGACATGAGAAGAGATGGGGAGTGATCTTCACTTGCATGACAACAAGGGCAATCCACCTTGATATAGCATGGAACTTGAATACTGCTTAGATGATAATGGCACTGAAAAGATTGATTGGAAGAAGAGGAGAAATTGAAGATTTATATTCAGACAACGGCACGAATTTTAGATGATAAAGAACTCAACGAGAAGATACAACAGCTGGATCAAGAAGTGATTAAGAATCAGATGGCAGGAAGAAGGATTGTGTGGCATTTCAACCCACCAGAAGCTTCGCATATGGGGGGATCTTGGGAGAGACTCATACGCTCTGTACGAAGCAGCTCAGATGTTGTTTCGAATGAAAAATACCCAAGAGAAGAAGTATTGTTAACGGTCATAGTTGAAATTGAATTCACACTGAATTCCAGACCGCTAACATATGTACCAGTAGATCCTGATTCACCAGAAAGCTTAACTCCTAACCATTTCCTTATTGGCTCGTCAACTGATCGTCTTCTAGAAAACCAAGATGATGAAATAGACTTGAGACGACAGTGGAAGATAGTTCAAGTACTAGCTAATAATTTGTGGACGAGATGGTTGAGAGAATACTTACCAGAATTTAACCGAAGGAGGAAGTGGCACGAGAGGAAAATTTATTTGAGAGAGGGAGATATACAGGGTGTCCGCTAAAAGGAGGTCAATCCATTAACCATATATTCCTTGAACAAAAACAATATGAGTTTCTAAATACCATTTTTCATTTTAGCCCTCCATATTCGATATACAGGGTCAAAGTTGGAAATTTAAAACTGTTTTTTTTAATTACTCGCGTATTTAATGAGATATTGATCTCAAAATTGGAACATTACATCAGCACAAAGAGTTACATCGTGTGAGGAAAACAAAACAGGAAATAACTGTCAAATATTCAAAATACTGTGGGTCAAGTACACACTTTTTTTTGTACGTGCGCTAATGACTTCCCATTTATTTTTCTTCAAGTGTTCAATCATTTTTGAGTATTTTTTGTCTTATGTGAAATTTCGATAAAATTATTTGTTTTTAAGATAATTCGAAAAGTACTGGTTATTGTTCGATGCATATGCGGCCCACGGTAATCTCATAAAGTTCACATACTCCTATTAATTTCGTCGAAATTGGAAGAGGGTGTAAATTTTCACGTACGAAGGGGTAAATATGAAGATACCGGGTGCTCAGAGCGAATGTATTGAAATAATTTTTACAGCAAATTTTTGAAAGATTTTTCAAAATCTGTTTGAGTGGTTTTGGGGGATGCGGAATTTTCCAAAAATATTTTCGAGCCCCCCCTCCCTCCCCCTCCGTATGGTATGTCGGGCGCGAACAAACGGAGAATAAAATCGGAAAACATTCGAAAAAAATATTTTCCGAAATTTTAGGTGAAATTATGATATCCATGATTTAAATACCTACTTGATGAAAGAAATAGCAGATCAGGATTATCTGGAGATGTATGAAAGATTTTGTGTATAAGTCACATATTTTTCAAAGGCTAAGATTTTCTCTAATTTAAAGAGCTCGCATGTGTATTCAAAAAATTGGAGGTCATATCGAGGAATTTATTTAGACGTGTTGAATTTCTATCAATTTTGTTTTGTAAAAATTATTTTATTACATTCGCTCCTGAGCACCCGGTTTTTCCATATTTACCTCTTCGTACGTAAAAATTTAAGCTCTCTTCCAATTTCGACGAAATAAATAGGAGTATGTGAACATTATGAGATTACCGTAAGCCGCATAGATATCAAACAATATCCAGTACTTTTCGAATTATCTTGAAAACAAATAATTTTATCGAAATTTTACAAGAGACAAAAAATACTCAAAAATGATTGAACATTTGAATAAAAATAAATAGCAAGTCATTAACGCACGTACAAAAAAAAAATGGGGGTAAGTGTGTACTTGACCCCCAGTAATTTGAATATTTGACAGTTAATTCCTGTTTTGTTTTCCTCACACGATGTAACTCTTTGTGCTGAAGTGATGTACCAATTTTGAGATTAATATCCCATTAAATACGAGAGTAATTGAAAAAACTGTTTTTAATTTCCAACTTTTACACCCTTTATATCGAATATAAAGGGATAAGATGAAAAACGGTGTTTAGAAACTCATATTGTTTTTGTTCAAGGAATATATGGTTAATGGATTGACCTTCTTTTATCGGGCACCCTGTAGTTGTGGTGGCTGACAACAATCTACAGGGGAATACTTGGCCACTAGGACGAATAGTAAAAACTTATCCCGGAAGGGATGGTACAGTAAGAATTGTGGACGTAAGGACAAGTAACGAAATCTACAAGAGACCTACAGTGAAAATCTGTATGCTGGAAGTACGAGAGTGAAGAGTCTTCACTAAGGGAGAGAATGTTATCGTCATTTTATGAAAGATAGTTGAATATAAAAATAAGAGTTGTCACAGATAAAAAAGTGTCATCGAATGATTTTAACGAAATAGAAAGAAATTCAAATAATTGGAAGATAAGATTGAGAAGCAATAGTGCTGTTATTGTGTTTTCGTAATCCCATCCTGTTATTGTGATTTAACAATATTCAGATGATAATTGAAAAGTTTATGTTAACAGCACTCGTTTGTTAAGAATATTATTGTGACATATATGCAATAACGGATTCCGTAATTGTAATCCGAGGCGCCGCCGAGGATTATAACAACTGAATCCCTTCAACCTCATCCGTTATTATCTACAAATCGACCTTGTAACGTTAATAACTTTTTCTGATACATTATTAATTGCCACAATTTCGATATTTCATTAATCTTGGTTATTGTTTCCATATCATTTTTTTTTATTTTGCAGGCTGGATGTGTCCATTTCACGAGTATTCCAAATCACTCTCCTTGTGATATCAAAGTACTTATTTTATTGTACACCACAGACAAGAGGGCATATCTTGGATTCATACCCAATGATCAAGTGGCATTCGTTGATCGTCTGAGGAAAGTCATACAGCAGCAGAAATCCAATCAACAACAAATGAGACAGGTATCAATGAGTATGCGTTACATTAATTTAGTAATGGGGCAACAGTTACTTGAAATAAGGGTTGCGAAAAATCACGCCTTCTTTGAAAAAAATAGAAAAAATTGATTTTTTATATTGAATCATAATTTTTTTTTATTTATACAGATTTTTATGATATTTACTAATGTTCTCCTCAACTATGGAAATAATGAATTTCAAAATTACTTATTTTATTATTTTTCTCTATTCGTCCAAAAATATTTGTTGCCCTGATTCACAGTAGAAAATATCATCGGCGACATACAAAAAAAAACTGATGTTGAAATGAAAATTTTCGGCTTTGTCGGAACAAAAAAATTCGTTTTAACACTTTCATAAGTTTCTTCTTATTTTTGAATTTCTTGATAAGTTATCTGCTTCGGCGACTTGTTTTTACAGCACTTTGTAATATCTGATTCAAATCACGATTGACATTGAAAAGATCAATTGATTTATATCCTGATTTAAATCATTTCATCATTCAATATAAATCATTGCTACCCTACTTCAAATCATGGTAGAATAGAGAGAGTATTGAGAGGAATCATGTTGAGAATAACAGTACAGAATTGTACAGGGTGATTTATACAGGGTTGGGATGACATTTATGAATCTGCAGTCAATTACAACGACACCAGATGCATCTGATGTTATTGTTTCTGTCAATAATGTACTTTTGGTTCAACCGGAAATACACTCAACTGTTTTAATTCAAATAGGACTCTGATATCTCAAAATGGGATTGGGTGTTGCCATTTGCAACAAGGTAGGCCTGTGGCATATGCATCGAGGGGGTTGACCGATACAGAGAAAAAATATGCAATTATTGAGAAAGAATTGCTGGGTGTAGTGTATGCCACCCAAAAGTATCATAATGTAATATAATGCCGCCCAGTACTAATTGTTACTGATCATAGACCAAATGTGAGTGTAATGAATAAACAAATATGCCAGGTACATTCTCCTAGATTACAAAGGCTCAGGTTGAAGTTGCTAAAATAGATATTGAGTACTTACCAGGAAAATTTTTGTATGGTGCAGATTGTTTGTCTATTATAGCAGTGAAATAGGCGAGTATCATTCAGATTTAAATGAAATAGTTTATTCTGTTGAAAAATATTTGAGAACGAGTGGGAGTAAGAAAAGTGAACTACCATTGAGGATGAGGTATTGGTAGAATCATGTGAAAATGGATGAACGAATAACGAGTATGAAGGAGAGATGACACTTTATTTTCAGATTAGAAATGATCTTCATGTGTCCAATAATATGATATTTTATGGCGATAGAGTTGTAGTTCCTAAAAGTTTACGGCAATTAATGTTGAAAATATTACATGAAGGCCATTTTGGTATAAATCGAACAAGAGATAGAGCGCGGGGTATATTGTATTGGCCTGGAATGTCAAGTCATATTGAACAAATGTTTCTTAGATGTGTTGTTTCTGAACACAGAAAATTGGATCTGATATTCTGGAATTTAGACATAAACATTATATGGTGATAGTGGACTATTCAACTATTTGGCAGACTTGGGTCGAATACTGAAATCCGGTATTCGAATATGAATCCTGAATACTGTACTCTAAATTGTATTCGAATACTCATGATTCGAATACAAAGAAAAAAAAGTATTCGAATACCGATGTATTCGAATACCTGGATTCATTCACATATGAATATTTTATGAATATTCCAACTGAAAAAAAAACATTTGCGCACATGAAGCTCGTTTATATAAATGTATGTAGTTTATTCATACAAATCTATAAAAAAAAATTGAAAATATATTAAATAAAACTTCATAAATATTTTTTGATTCAAAGTGCCACAATGAGGTTGAGGTAACACAAAATAATTGTTTAGCAAGATAATAATGGAAAATAATCTCAAATAATGAATAAAACTTGAAATAAAATTCATTCCATTACAAATAAAACATAGGAACTAATAAAATATATATGATCGACCAATAATATATAGCGACGGCTCCGTTTAAGCGTAGCGCAATATTCATAGAAATAATCAAAAGTATCCGAAAACAGGATTCGAATACCAAGATTCGAATACAAAGTGAGTATTTGAATACTGAGGTTCAAAAACGGTATTCAAAATCCAAAATACCGAATACTGACCAAAAAAGTATTCAGTCGAATACCGAATACCAAATACACAAATGTATTCGAATAGTATTCGAATACCAGCCAAATGTATTCTGAATAGGATTCAGAATACTGGCTATTCGAATACTACACAAGTCTGCTATTTGGCTAGGAATTTTACCTCTGAAAGGTAAACAAAGTTCTGATGTCATTAGAGTGAACTCAAAGAGATTTTTGCAATGGCGTACCAGATGTTTTTTGGTGAGGGACGATTCTTGGGTTTTTGGATTCGTGGTAAATGATAATTATATATTTTATATCATTTGAAACGTTTCGCCTATAACCATAGGCTTTTTCAATCTTTAATAATAGTTGTTATACATGAGATTTTTTTTAATAAAAAACTGGTCTCAACCAGCGCTATTGTTTTTTATGCATTATTCTATGGTTTTGTTTCTCTTTTTGTTCATAATGATAATTATAATATCCTGCATTGGAGGATGAGAAAATCGTGAAAACGTGTTCAATGTTTTTTCTTGAAACTATTATTAAAGATTGAAAAATCCTATGGCCATAGGCGAAACGTTTCAAATGATATAAAATATATAATTATTATTTACCACGAATCCAAAAACCCAAGAATCGTCCCTCCCCAAAAACCATATAGAAGGATTCAAGAATGCATTAAAAAAGTACCAGACGTTGTGTCAGATAACATGCCTTATGCATCCTTTGAGTGTAAAAAAATTGCCAAGGAATATGGCTTCGAAACTCAAACCAGTATCATTATCCGAGGTCAAATGAGCTAGCAGAACGATTTTTTCAGACTGCCAAAAACAGTCTACGCAATTCTTGTGATCTTACGGAAGCCCTTATGGAGTATCGCAATACTCCAATTACAAGCATGAAAAGGTCACCTGCAGAGTTGATATTTTCAAGAAAATTTAAAACAAAACTTCCCGTTGTGAATATTCAAAGTCACGTCATCAAAGAGTTCAAAAGTAGGTTTGATAGGAAGATTAATATGTATAGATGTTATTGATAGGTATGTTAAAGAAAGTTCAGACTTTGAAGAGGGTTGAAGTGTGGTTTATAGGAAGAATAACCAGTGGTTGCCTGCAACTGTAGTAGCCAAATGGGAAAAGAGTCCTCGTTCATATATGGTTAACACTAAAGATAATACATTACGCAGAAATAGTAGTGACCTCAGGAAGTCAATAGGTCATCATGGGTATGAACAAATTGTAGGCTGTGAGGTGAATTCTCCAGATTTGGGTGTTGGATTAGGTGATAATAATAGAAATAACTACACAGATTGTGGGGAGTTCAGTCATAGTGACGTAGAAAAAATTAGTGCAGTTCCGGAAATTTCAAATCCAAATAGTCTACTAAACAGTAATAATGATGTTAATAAAGAATCTGTGTATAGCAGCAGTAGTAGGTCTAGAGTTAGAAGGCTTCACTCAAAATTGGTGGATTATGATATGTCAAATTATTAATAACAATAATACAATGTTGAGTTCGTACTGTTGAATTCAGGTATAAGATATTTATCATCAAGTAAGTGTATTATTGTTTGCTTCTGTTAGGAGGGAGGTGTAATAATATACATAGTCGTCAGTACGTGAGTCAGTGTGTTAGATATGGACTTTTGCAGAGTTGAGTAATTAAATTAATGCGGATATCGGTTGAAAACATTCAATTAAACACACGACTCAATTACATAAACTGAACAGAATAGCAGGAATAAAAAAAAGAAGATAAAGAATAAGAAGAAGAATTACGTTCACTATCCGATTTAAATTTTTGTATACCTCGGATCTACACTATTTGCTGAAGGACAGGAAAAAAAAGTCGCGTTAAGCCGTGTCAGATCATTGGATGGATTAAGAATAGTGGAGCTCGATTGCTCAAAACTCACCGGAAACGGGATGAAAATGCAATAGGAATTGGAATGTATGCGACAAAAAAGACCTCCAGCATCATGTCTAGAGGCATATTATTTGAAGTTTCGAAAACGGATTTGACATTGATTGTTTTGTTTTCAATATTATTTGTTTTATTGAATGAATATTTACGTAACCAGTTAGGAGACGTGTCATTTTATGTAACGATGGGATTTTGCGGAACGATCGAAGCGAGCACTTGCAAAACACTATTTTGTGCAAACATTATAGGTCGCGTGCACGATGACCGACTCTGGAGGCAAAATATTGAAACACAACCTCATTCTTCTGTGAATTATTGAAACACAACCTCACTTTGTTATTTGGTTACAGGGGAATCAAAGGATTGAAATAGTTTTTCACAATATTTTGGCATACGAATCGTGTTTCTTGCGTTATACATTAATTCAAGCATGCCTTCGCATTGTGTTGTTGTACAATGCACAAAAATGTAGCAAGAGACTAGGGAAAATGATTTTTCAGGTAAATAGTAATCTCACATAGTTATCATTATGAAATGTTGTCATTCCTTATTAAAATTCCTTCTGCCTTCTGCCACTTCTGCAATACAAGCTAATACTGCTAATAGATTGAAAATGTCTACAACACACACGATCGTCAGCATGTCAGACCAGTCTTCCCGATTGATTGCATGAATCCAATCTTCTTGCATTATTCTAGAAATTTCAGGAATATTTCAATTAGCTCTTTTTGCAGAAGGAATTCCGATGAGAAATCAGAGAAATAACCAAATTTCAAAAATGAAAACTATATGTGAGTGACTATAGTAGGTACTCACTTTTAAATCATAATGTATCATCCGGATTCCTTCATCTTCCTCTGCAGTTTTTGTGCATTTTACAACAGCACAATGTGATGGCATGAGCGAATTGATGAATAGCGGAAAAATACGATTCATATGCCAAAATAATTGT